TCTAAAATGCTTAGTTCCTTCAGAGACCACCGGTAAGCCCCTGGCCTCTCTCCCCCCTCCACGCCCACACCCCTGCATCCCTTCGGTCCCTCCGTGGGGGGGACCGCCACAGCTCTGGCCCTGGTCTCTCCTCCGGCCACCAGCGCCTCGCGTTTCTCCCTCGCGGCAGGGGTGCTGATCCCCGCATGCACCTGCGCACTGGGCCTTCAGGGCACGCAGAGTCAGGACCGCCCACGTGGCTGGGCGGCTGCAGAGGTTCCTGCGGCCAGGTCCATGCCGAGCGAGGAGAGTGAGGGGCCGGCAGCACCTTCGCGGGCTGTCTGGCAAGGCGGGGTGGGGCGGCAACGCGCGCAAAAGCCGAGCCCACACACTGCCAACCACCACCAGTCCATTCAGCACAGCGGCCCAGGCTCCCTGCACCCCGAAGCCCCACTCCCCGCTCTCGCACCCAGCGGGCCCGGCTGGGCGCCCATCCTACCTGGTGGACATGCTGTTCCTTCTGGGACTGCCGGCTAGGCCTTGCTGGGGGTCGGCCACCCGGGGCAGGGGCTGGAGTACCAGCAGGTGACAGCGACACATCCTCCCCACCTAGGAGAATGGAGAGAAGCCTGAGGCCAGAGACAGGGACACGGAGGGAGAGCAGAGCGCCCATAGGGACTGCAACGTTGGGTCCCCAAGGCAGCCACTGGGCAAGGGGTGCAGCTGAGGCTCTGGCCAGACCAGCGGAAAGCCAGGAAGGTGGGAGGCCCCAGGTCGGGGGGTTGCCACAGCCTCAAGGCCTCCCTCCTGCTCAGCAAGGAACACAAAGCAAAAGAAAAAGCAGACAATCAAAGCAAAAGAAAAAGCAGACAATCGAAGCAAAGGGAGTGGAAGTCCAACATAAAAGACTAAGACACTTAAAAACTTTTTACTTTTCAATTACAGCTGACATTCAACAGTTTTATACCCACTAGTTCAGGAGCATGGCATGATGGTTGGACATTTACACACCTTACAACGTGATCCCCCAAAGAGTCCAGTCCCCACCTGACACCGCACATAGTTACCTATGACATCGTCCACTGCGGTCCCTAGGCTGCACTGCACATCCCTGGGACTATTTTGTGTCAAGACACTTTTTATTTTCAAGGTGCTTTTTAAAATCAACTTTTTTGAGGTATAACTTATATGCGATGAAATGTGCCCACTTAAGTGTACAGTTTGAGTGGGAATGCTGGGAATGCTGCCCTCACACTGGAAAGTCCCTGCGACCCCCTTTGCAGATGACCTCTCTGTCCCCAACCCCAGCACCCACCATTGGCTGCCTTCTGCCATCAGAGATGACTAACGCCTTTTTGTTAGAGTTTCTTGTAAACGAAATCAAATGATAGGTGCTCTTTTTTACTTCATTCTGCAAAATATCTTTGAGACTTGAACATGTGCTGTATTGGAGTACACCCCACTGCATACAATGTGTTTGCTCGCTCACCTGTAAACATGTGGGGTCTTTGTAATTTAGGGGCGTGAGTGTGTCCGGGTCTGCGCATGGACGTGTTTTCAGGCGTCTTAGGTCTCTGCGTACGCAGCAGTGGGATTCTAAGAACAAGCTCGATGAGAGCCCTCCAAGCTGTCTTCCAAATTGGCTGTATCGACTCACACTCCCTCCAGCAGTGTATTAAAACTCGAGTGGTCCACGCCACTGCCAGTACCTGGTGGGGCTCACCTTTGTGATTCTAGCCATTCTAATGTGTGTGGGAGCGTTCTAATGTGTGAATGGTTATTTTTATTTGCCTTTTCCTGATGACTAATGAGGCTGAGCATCTTCTCATGGGCTTATTAGATCTTTTGTAAAGTGTTTACCAAATCTTTTGTTTATTTTTCTACTGAGTTCATTGACTTTAATGAGAATATTTGTACTGTTTTACCATACAGTAGGATGCTTTTGTGTGTTTGATAGCTATACTCAATACCAAATCAATGATAAGTTTTCTGTCTCTTGCTGGCTTGGCAGGTAGAGCAGAACGCTCATTGCTGAGGGCACTTAAAGCTCTAAGCTTCTCCGAATACAACCCTGCACGTTTCTAAGGAACATAAAGAAATGTGATGCTTTTAATATGAATTAGGAATTGTAAAATGTGATGTTTCTAATTTGATGTGGAACATAAAGAAATGTGATGTCTGGGCATGGTTGATACTTGTTCCACGGTATAAAAGCCAACAACCGCAAATCCAACGACTACAGATCTGTAAAGGCGCAGATGAAGAGAAAACATTTTAACTGGTTCCCTTGTAAGAGGAGGCAGACAAAAGAGGTACAAGAATGAGCAGCCAGATCTCAAATCACACTTGGGGACAGCAATGGCTGTAATGGGCTCATCTGTGGGCAGTCGGTGACAAACCACAGGAGAGACTGAGTCACTTGTAAACTTCTGATTTATTCCAAGTTCGCAGTGGGCCCTGGGGAGTCACCCAGGGCCACCACAGAGAGGTGTCAGGCTGGGGCCCTCGCACTGCGGCTGTGACTCCCCCACTGCATGCCCTCACCAGCCAGCATCGCCTTCCTCCGGTCACCCGAGCTACCCCTGCAGGGAACTGTCACCGTCAGAGGACCGCCACAGCGAGAACGACAGAGCTTGCAGGAGGGGTGACAGCTGAGTGTGTACAGCTGTGAGTGGTGGCTTTTCTGCTGTCAGCGCACAGTGTTTACTCTGCAGTTCATCCTCCCGAGAGCCCGGAACCCTGCCACGCTGGCGGGTGGACCCAGGCAAGTTGGTGGGTCTCTTTATTCAACGATGGAAAGCCAGGCAGCATCAAACAGAGCCCCCCAACACATGCCACACGGAGCTGCCCCACACCAGCACCCACCGCTGGGCGCATGCGGGCCTGCTGTGAGCACCCTACACACACCACACCCTGGACCCAATCCCTTAGCGCTGTCGCAGGGCTGGTCCCGTCACCTCTGCTACAGAAGAGGACTCTGAGCCTGAGAAAGGCCAAGTGCGTTTGCCCCGGCCACCCAGGTCAGTGGCGGAGCCAGGGGCAAGTCCAGGCAGCAGACGGCCACCCTGTCTCCTAAGCACTACCGCTCGCATCAGAAAGGAAATGGCAGCAGGCAGAGCTGCGCCCAGACAGAGCGCCGGGCGCGGGGCGCGGGGCGCAGGGCGCACGCAGGCAGGGGCGCCGCCCAGCACCATCAGTGTCCACGGGGGCGCGGCCACTGGCCCGCACGTGGTCTGAAGCAACCACCTGAAGTCCCCTTCAGGAAATGCCTGTTTTCTACTTGTATGGCTTGGGGACTGAGGACGTGTCACCCGCGTGAAGCCAAAATCCTTAACCAGAGCACGGGCTGAAACTGCGGGAAAGAGGTCGTCACATTGGAACCAAGGGCTCGGAGACAGAGGAGCCGCTCAGAAACACGGCCGGCAGCGCACGCGAGGGACCTTCTCTCCGGCGGGAGCGGCTGCGTGCTGCCGTCTGGAGACCCCGCGTGGGGACGGGGGCGGGGAGCCGCAGGCTCAGCTCGCGCCCAGGCCAGTGGGCGGGGCCACGGTGGACAGCGGCCACAGCCGAGCCGGGACAAGGACCCCACCGCGCCCCAGGCCCCGCGAGCACCCCTGCACTTTAACGAACCCCCAGCAGATTCGCACACACGGTGCCACGTCCAGTCGGGGCCATCGTGTGGAGAGTGGCTAGAAGGGGGACCAGTTAAGCCACAGGATGTGGCTGGGACACTGCGCGGTCCCAGTGATGAAGGGGTGCGAGGAGTGGATAGGAGGCACCTCTGCCAAACTGGCCTGTGACAGCTACAGTCACAGACCTCAGTCCCTTCATCTTCCCAACAACTTTGTGAGTTTTTAATCATCCCAATATATAGGTGGAAAACCCGGTGTGGAAGAGGGCAGGTGACGCGCCCCAGTCACAACCAGGGAGCCATGACGCTGCAGTTCATCCAAGACGACTGGGCGCCACGCCCAGACCTTTCTCCTGCGTCTTTCATCCAGGTGAGAAATGTCGTGAGGGCCTATCGTTGTCACCTGGTGTCTGCGGTGGACTCAGAAATGGTGTTTATTAATCATCATTAGTGGCTTCTCTTTTCCATTTTCACTAATTTCTTTTCTTTTTCACATAAAGAACATAACCAAGACAGCTGAAATGGTCTCTATGGAGCATCACGGGCAGAAGTATTTTTCAAAGCTTACGGAGGCCAA